AGGCACGCCATATGCCTAGCAGTATCACTGGGTCTTGATTTAGAACTGCCTACTATTGCCGACGGTTTTGAGCAAATATCTAGGCGACCTAAAGGAAAAACTGTTGTCGTTCAAGGATCAGTTTGAAACGTACAGAAGGCGTCTGAAGATCGCAAGAAAGGAACAGATGAACAGGTTCGAGCTAGACGCATTGGGCACCTACAATGGAAATACGGAGAAGAACTCTCAAACATTGCTAGCACTAGTTCCTCCATGCCATCGACTAGCTCTGGACGAACTAACTCCACCACTTTGACAGCAAAGAACAGGCGTAAACATATCAAGGAACTGACCCCTAAGCTGATCAGATTGTGCAGTCCTTTGAACTTTCGAATTGCTTGCAAATCCGTCCTCACTATAAACTGCGTTTTTTCAAAAATGAAAGACAAAGTCCCGCTGCTTGGCTTAACCAACACAGTCTACTCCATCAATTGTAACAACTGCAACCAAATATACATAGGTTAGACCTCCAGATCTCTTAAAGGAAGGATTACATCAACAAAAGTGATGCGGGCTTCATCCTGAAAGATGCGCTCTAGCATCTCATGTTAACACAACAGGGCATTCTATGAATTACACACGTATTAAAGTCTTGATAAATAAAAACACCTTTCCAAACGTTTATTCCTGGAAATGTCCCACATTTTCATGAATAACAACTGTATCAACAAAAGACAGATGTTAAACAACTGAGTGCCATTTACTCATATTGCTGAACTGCGAAAATTGGAGAACTTACACTATCTCCCCAATTTCGACTCTTCACAACCATAAATAGAATCTGTGTTTTGGCCGATTCCACCAGGTAAATTTCATTCCACTCAAAATATAATAATTCTCTTCTCACGATTTATAATAATTATTAATTTTAAATTCCATTAATTAAAATATAGTTTATTCAACTGCCTCTGGTCGGTTTAACAATTTCTCACATAACATTCTGAAAATCACATCATCTGAAATGATTTGGAAACGTTTGGCACGCGCCACAATTCGTTCCATCTTTCAACACAGACATTGACAACCTCGGCCTTCTGTCAAAGGGGTTTCATCTCACTCACTATTCCATGGACCACCATTTTGTGCAATCATCAAGTGGCTTCACGGTGTAATGCTCTAATGTTTTTTAAATAATTTTAATCTGTTTTTAACTTGTTCTTGTCATATTTTATATAATTTTGAGCATTGTGTACCATCTATCCAGCTCTCGTCATGTTACTGGACGTTTCCCTCATCCTATACGTAAACAACAATTAGCAACATCCTCACACTACTACTGTAAGTTGAGTCAATTCAAATTCATTTTTACACTTTTGTTGCTACTGTTATCATTGTAATTGCAGCTCCTGATGATGATGGCAAAGTCCATTGAAAGCTAGAGAGAATTAAAAAAGTATAAAGAGTCCTCTTTGCTTAAATTTTGTCGAAGTACCCATACAAAAGGCGGAAGCTTTAATTTTTCACCTAACTGGTCTAGACGACAATGACCACGTCTCAAGTTATATATATATATAGTAAATAGAAAGACACCTGTGACAAATTTCTCACGGATATTTTTTTTAACGCGGGAATATAGCATTAGGGCTATCTTCGGATAAAATACTTTAATCAATACTATTACACAGTAATTCATTACAAATTATTTTATTTCCTAGCGCTTACACCAGCTAACACGCCAGATACTTTCTCCGTGTATACATCCGACTGGAAGTTAGGTTATTCGACCCTTCTGATTGCTTTTAACTTGGACTGATACTTGTTTATTCAAGAGAACTAATCCAATCGATTTACTAATGGCAGAGCATAAGCTGACATGCTTGATCTGGAATCCACTGTAATACCAGCGATACTACTAAGAGTTCATTCATGCACACTAAATGGGAAAAGACTTCTCATTTTAGATCATAGCAAACTACCTGCACATTTGACTACAAGATAGTGGCAATATTTGACGTGAACGACGAGTACATCAACTGCTTGTGCTGGAACCATTATGGCAGCAAAAGATGTCCCGAGTGTACAGAAGATGGGTTTGTTTTATGTACGTAATAGTGACATCGACCTGTTATCAATGTTGTTTTAAGCGCATTCGAATTGACGTATCTCACCAAACTGAAACCGGTTCAGTTTCATAAAAAATCTACCTCAAACTTAGGGTTGTCCAAATATGAAAATCAGTTAGCTTAGTTTTGGAATTATCGGCCATAAAGTAGACAGACAGCAATATAATGGATTTAAGTTACTGTCGAAAGTTATATGATCCCTGATACCTCACTGCCCACGCTCAGTGGCGGAAGTTTTGAAAATGATATATTTTTTGGGTGTTGATGAATATAGCAATCAAGTCAGAAGATTCAATGAAAAGGCCAACCATTGCTCACAGTGAAGGCGTCGCGAAAAATAGCACACTAGACGTAGCACGTGTAATATAAGATCACTTATTCCAAGCTTTGATATGTTTTTAGGCATTAGAGCAGAACCTCCATACTACCGCAATAACAGAGATTTGGTTTACACCTGATTTTGACAGACAAGAAAGGGGAGGTGGAGCATGTTTTTATATCCATACCAACATAAAATTTAAAGTCATAGATTGTAATAAAATTTCTTCGGATGGCATTGGATCTGCGGTTATCGCTAAAACTAAATAATGAGATCAGTGCGGTAGGTGTTATTTGACATCTCCTGCATTAAGTTTACTTCCTCGCCTTGAGAATAACTATCCCTCCATATGCATTACCCATGATGAAGTTATATTGACCTCACCGATAAGTTTTCGAATCCCAGTAAGAAAATCTTACAATCCATGGCATTATTCAATCTCGTTCAAGTTACTGGTGAACCTACAAGAATCACCAAGGATTCAGCTACTATGATTGATGTAATTTTTGTATCAAATGCATTGAATGTACACAAGAGTGGCACTATAGGTATGGGAAAATAACTGATCATAGATTATACTTCTGTGAATTGAAGATTGAAATTCCTGAATGCACTCCTAGCAAATTTTATTGTTGTGACTTTTCACACTTCAATTATGATGAATTTGCTGAGGATGCAACAGTCTTCCATCTTACTGAGAACAGTATCTTGCTGTATGACATACGTGCTCCGATGGAAATAACTACACCTCGTGAATTCTACAGGCCGTTCGTTATCTATATAATGAAATGTATAATATGACGGATTTGATGAAGGGCTTGTTGAAAATTTCATATTTCTTAACGACCTGCAAAAGCAAGCATTCAAAACCGTTGACCCGTGCCATAGGAAGCTACTTTCAAATATTATCAGACTCTATGCGCAAAGCCTTTCAAGAAAACGCAAGTTTCAAGAGGCAGCTGTCGTCTACATGAATGCTGGACTACATAAAGAGGCGATAGAAGAATATAGACTTGGTTTTAGACTAGAGAGAGGTCATAAGGCTTAGACTGTATTGAAGTATGATGAATCTGTCAAGCGAGATGTGTTGGGGAAGATGCGGATGAATCTGGTAAAGAGAAAAGGGTAGAGGAAGCTGAGATAGTTGGAATACATAATAAAGATTATAAGAAGACGATCAAGACTTTGATGGACTTCAAGTCCTTCAGGCACGCCATATGCCTACCAGTATCAACTGGGTCTTGATTTAGAACTGCCTACTATTGCCGACGGTTGAGCAAATATCTAGGCGACCTAAAGGAAAAACTGTTGTCGTTCAAGGATCAGTTTTAACGGTACAGGAAAGGCGTCTGAAGATCGCAAGAAAGGAACAGATATGAACAGGTTCGAGCTAGACGCATTGGGCATCTCTACAATCGAAATACGGAAGAAAAACTCTCAAACATTGCTAGCACTAGTTCCCTCCATGCCATCGACTAGCTCTGGACGAACTAACTCCACCACTTTGACAGCAAAGAACGGGCGTAAACATATCAAGGAACTGACCCCTAAGCTGATCAGATTGTGAAGTCCTTTGAACTTTCGAATTGCTTGCAAATCCGTCCTCACTAATAACACTGCATTTTTCAAAATGAAGGACAAAGTCCCGCTGCTTGGCTCACTATTCCATGACCACCATTTTGTGCAATAGTCAAGTGGCTTCACGATGTAATGCTCTAATGTTTTTTAATAATTTTAATCTGTTTTTAACTTGTTCTTGTCATATTTTTATAATTTTGACCATTGTACCATCTATCCAGCTCTCACAATGTACTGGACGTTTCCCTCATCTCTACGTAAACAACAATTAGCAACATCCTCACGTATTACTGCAAGTAGAGTCAATTTTAAATCCATTTTACACTTTTGCTGCTACTGTTATCATTGTAATTGCAGATATATGATGATGGCAACTAGTCCATTGAATAAGCTAGAGAGAATTAACACACGTTTTTAAGAGAGTCCTCTTTGCTTAAATTTGTCGCGAAGTACCCAACAAAAGCGAAGCTTTAATTTTTTCACATACCTGGGCGAGACGACAATGACCACGTCTCAAGTTATATATATTATAATATATATATATATATTAATCAGACAAAAACGTTGAATTTTAACTGGAGAATATTCAATCACAGGTTCCAACGAGAGCTCGTCAGCTCGTGAAATATGGATAAGACAGAACCTCGGAGGTTGACAGACTCATGGGCAAAGATGGCCGTTCCACCACACTTGCTCTCAGATCTGCAAATACTACAAACCAGTGAAAATTCATTTATACAAGTGCACTAAATTTGATCATTTTCTGACCAATGTTCATCCATACAAAGAAATTTTGTATATTGTTCTTGACCGTAAGCTTCCAAAGGTCTATTTTACTTGGCAAGCTCGTATGGATATTTATTATCTCGTCATGTTTTTGTTGTCTTTGTGGAACACATGTTCGTTGTCAGGTGGAATCATTTTTTTGCCTCAGTAGGCCAAGAGGCAACAAGTGTATAATCCCGACTTGAGTCAGCTGTTTCTGGGGAGACTCTCTACCATCAAGGGTAAGGTAACGGCTGAGACAATAATACCACGATTAAGTTGCGAGACACTGTATTCACTGAACCCCTATAGACAGAAACGTATTGGAAATAGGGAATCTTAATTAAAGTTAAAATATGTAGCCCTTCTGGCGCGCGCGACACGCTGACCCTCTTGGTCGCAATCCGTTCATCAGTAATCACCTGTGGTTTCTCATTGATTTTTGTAGCAAGATCCTTCTGTCTGAGTCCTTTAGCTTGACGCCCTTGCTGAATCAACTTGCCAACGTCCAATGGAATGGTTTCGTGTTTCAGTTCTTCAGTCTCACGATCAAGCTTTGCAGTATTCTTTGTGGTCACATGCTGTTTGTTACTACCAGATGTATTGTATTGAAAAATATAATTACATGTCCACACCACACACATAGTCTAAGCTGTAGACAAGAATATTGATTTGCCAGAATTAAACTTTGTCAATAAAGAGTGACATCTGTATGAGTTTAAGCTAGGGTTGCCTTTTGAAGAATTTGTTGCATTCGTTAACTTATATTTCTAGAATACTTACCTGGTGCATCAAAAGGCGGATGGTCTTTTATTCGAAATACATTCAATATATAATCCCTTGTACCACAGAATATAATGTAGCATTTTTCTGGGTTCTTTTGGGTGTGGATTAAAACTCGAGATTCCACAAAAATAAATGCACTTCTTTACTTTACTTGACCAGATAGAACATTTATGTACACCACTATTTATGTCTAACTAATTCTTATGCCGCGCCATTGATTGCACTCCACTCCGCTCTACTCTAATGTACCCCGCACCGTGCTTCCATCTCCCGGCCGTCGAGTTATATATACTCCGAATCGCTGCTTCGAGAGAGGTTTGGCGAGCGACAAAGCGGCATCTAGAATATTTGAGGTCACCTGGCGTAGATCTAGAAGGCGAGTCACTGGTACGAGAAGGAGAGTCTCCTAATAGATGACGCCAACAGTACTATCTATTGTCGTCACACTGCCCCCTCGGTAAAGTCATTCCGTCCCGGAATGGTCTTATTGGCGGTGGATCTCGATATCGGCTCGACTGCCCTTTCTTGCAGTAGGAGTTCTTAAGAAGTAACAATCCACACTCCTTCCAGGAGGTAGCCGTCTAGGACTGTGACAACATACCAGAAATCGAATGGCCATTAGCATTGTGAGCCATAAAAAGATCAAATGTCATGTCCGATTCTGGTTGGATTTGCTGCATCGCCGCATCTTCGTTGTTTCCATGATAAGGTGCCCTGTAGTCGACGGAGTTTTTGAGGATCTATGACTATAGGTTCTGATTTAGAAGGACTGACTTTGTGGCAGATGGGTTGTGGAGGCAGATGATCCTTTTCCATCGCATGCAGAAATGAACTGCCTAACAGGGTAGGAGAAGGACTGATTTCTTGTTGGAGACGAAGATTCATCTCTACTGGAAGTTTGTGCGACTCCTGTGGAGGTGTAGTCGGCATGCTGTTGGTTTTTTGAGTTATATGACTGACTAAGTGATCCAGGTTTTCGATCTGAAATAGTTCCTCTAGCAATGATCGAGGCGGATTGATATCTGGTGATGTTGGATCGGTTTCTTGTAAGGAAGACAGTTGATCCATCAAGTCCTCTAGTGGCAACTGAGGTGGACTGGTCTCTATTTGTTGAACCGGGCTGTCCTCCTGCAACGTCGAAGGATTGTGAACCTCTGTTGTTATCTGTTGCACTAACTGAGCAAATTCTGGGGATGGTGTGCTCAGTCTGCTCCCTTCTAGCGTCCAAGGATAGATTTCTGTTAATATCTGATGTGTCTTCATGGGAGACACGATTGGGATGTCTTTTTGTAACGATGCTGCCTGAGTTGATGAAGATGGTTGACCCTGGCCGACTTCCTGTAGCGTGCACTTCATTTCTAGCGAGGCCTGTAGTATGAGTTGTGTGTCCTGGAGGTTGCCTGCTTGGATTCGCTGCTTCTGAACAGTTATATTGTGCTTCTCCTTTTGGCGAGCATCGAAATATCGAGTTGCCTGAATAAGTCGGTCCATCCCCCTCGTCCCAGCTTCTGTTAGAGTCTGACTGTTTGAAGGGCTGGGTTCTCGAATATTCTGAGACGTAGTCTGGAGGTCATGTTGAGCCATATCCTTCAACGTTAGACTGACTTCCTGAGGCTTGGCAGATGTTAATTCCTGTTGTGTCATATCCCTGGCCACTACATGACTGACTTCTTGCTGAGTCACATAAGCTATTTGTTGTGGCATATCCAAAATTTGACGTTTGACAGTCATTTTTTGTACTACTGGTGGTGAAGTAAGTCTTGTTGTTGAATGCGGACTGACAGATGGTGGCTGGGGTACTGCCCGTGCGTTTGTTGTTCGAGGCGGCACTATCTGAAGGATAGAGAGCGTCTTTACTCGAGGAGTACTCCCCGGAGGTACCACTGGTATAGGAAGAGTGACCACGTTGACTGGAATTGGAGATACTTCCGCTTTGCTTCTCAGAACTGATTTGGAACTGGATCCCTGATGTTCCCTTGGCTGAGGCAGACTGACCTCCTTGGCCGTAGTTTTTACTAGGCTGGCCGCAGGTACTTCTGCCTGGAGTTCTGGGGATGTTGATAGTAAACTGGTTTCCGGAAATAGGCATGGCTGATGCTGAGCCAAGGTAATAACCTTGGGTTGCAGAATGTTGGCTCGCTGTTCGGAAGGTGTCACTGCTGTTGATGCTTTGCTGGTCTGGGGTAAAACCGCTTGACTTTTTGCGATTATTAATTCTGAGATGGTTCCCCGAGGTTGAGGTACATCCGCTGTACTGAGCCACACAGGTGTTTTCACTCGTAGTAATAGTGGTTTCCTTGAGGTGCTGGGCTGAGGATCCGTAATTTTGTCGTTCCTTACAGGCTGAGGTGTACTCGGTCCTTTTGAGGTGTTGGGTTGAGTGTCGTGAACTTGCAGAGTCTTGCTGATTGGTTGTGGGCTTATCAAACTTTGTGGTATCGTGTTGCGTACCAACTGCTGGCCGATAGCTGGCGTTTGAGACTGAGTTTCCACTGAACTTATTGGATGTGAGTCTTGAATCTTGGGAGACAGTGTGCTTGGACGTGGTGCGGATTGAAGCAGCGGAGGGATAGCTCCTACTTGCGAATTCACTGGTGCCACCTCGTTGATTGGGTTTTCCAGCACTGGTTGCGTTTGCCGATTGCGCAGCAGTAACTTCTGTTCCAATGAGAGCGCAGTACTGGTTTCTTTCTGGGAGCTTGGAGGTACTACCTTGATTTGATGAGTTGACTTTGATGATTTTAGTATCAGAGGCGTATGCTTCCGCGTAATGGTTCTTGGTTGACTTCGTGGCGGGTATTGAGCAATGACCTGAGACATTTTTATTCTTTCCTTGGGTATGCTTATGAGAACTTTCTTCTGAGAGCTGCTGATATCCAGATTTTTTCTGGATGAACTGAACGAGAGCCTGTTTTGTGTTTCTTTGTTCAATGTCTGTTCTGTTGGTTTTACAGATACTATCTCCTTGAGAGGTTGTTGCTCCATGGATTCTTTTTCTGTTTTCTGATGTAATTTTTTTAATATATCCTTTAGCGTTATTTTCATTACTTTCATTTCCTTTGCCACTTGCCCACGAAGTTGGCGCAATGTGGCAAGTTTTACGTTTTTTGACTCATCTGTGGCTGTCGAAGTCGAAGGCTGAGGTTCGCTAGAAGAAGGCTTGAACTGTTTTTCAGGCGTGCCTTCGTTCGAATCCTTATCCTTGTGCCTTTTTAATGCCGGTCTAAATTCTCTCAGGGTTTTGAAGGTCGTGGGATCGGATTTTTTCGGTAGTGTATTCAGTAACGGTAAAAAGAAGTCTCCGGCACCGTCACTTCCAAGACTGTACGGTCGTGAGTCCTGTGACATCGAATCTTCGCTATTTGACGGCGATTCTTCATCAGAAACAAAATTCTGATCTAAATACTGTTCGTATCCTCTCTCAATACCAGCAAGCTCATCCAGTGGTTCTGTCTTGATATTTTTAAACATAGAGTAATCTATGTCAACAAATTTCAGCTCAGTGACTAAATTCTTAGCATTCTGCGGGTCATGCAAGTACATTTTGCAAATTCTATGGAGGTCGTCCCAAGGCAGGTATCAACTGAGTACTTGATACCTCGGGTTCGATAGACATACCACCAGATCGTCGCATAACGGCTCAGATATGTATTCCTAAAACGGGATTCTGGAGTGCTTCGTGCAGGGTCATGTTGATCTTTGGCAATTCTACGCTAGGTTTACACATCCAATCTCCGCATTCTGAACATATCCAGGTTATTTCGTCAGTTGGTAGAGCGGGTGGGTGCAAACGGCATTTCCAATCTTCCTCAGCTGTGGTAACCTGTAATTTTTATTAGAATCGTACCATGCATGCCACTGTAATGTTTGGTATTGTACGGGATACGCTTACAAAGATCACAAGTAGTACGCACTTTTATTTCAAATGTCAAGTGGTCTATTAAGCAGTAATTGTAACAGTTTTAAATAACAGTCCTTTGGCAAAACGTTCAGGTTGACGTTCCGGACCGAAGTGTCATTTCCATGACATATACAGGTAGATCAGAATACAAATAGATACATTACATTATTATTGACAAAAACCAATACAGAGCGCGTTTCATAATTGCCGTGCAGCAACCCAGTTGCATGCAATGCAATCTCCCATTTTGCTTCCGTTTCGACAGAATGACTAAGGAAACGTTTAGCTTTATTGGAGCCAGATGTTCAAGTAGTCCAACAGTTTCAAAAATGGACGTGAGGTCGTTAAAGACCTAGAATTATCAGACACCCTTCAACGAGACGTGTAACTTCATAAACAATTGCCGACGAGCCAACAATATTCAAATTTACATCTCACAAAACACCGCTAATAAAAAATATAGACCTGTTTATTTACATTAGGATGTTTGGAGACATCTCCTCGGTAATTTGCAATGTTGCATGTCCCTCAATGAAGGTTAGTAAATCCCAGAAAGTGCTTTCTATCTATACAAGGGCGTACCCAGGAGCAGCTGCCTCCCTTACCTATAGTTCGGCAAAAATTAAATGGCAAGAACATTTTTTACAAAAATTAAATTATACATTCAGAGTTTTCCACAAGCTGAATCAATATCTATTAGTTGAGAAATGACTAGGATTAGTTGTAATCTATGCTAGATATAAAGACTCCACAACCCATCTGCCACAAAGTCAGTCCTTCTCCATCAGAACCTACAGTCATAGATCCTCAAAAACTCCGTCGATTACAGGGCACCTTATCATGGGAACAACGAAGATGCGGCGATGCAGCAAATCCAACCAGAATCGGACATGACATTTGATCTTTTTATGGCTCACAATGCTAATGGCCATTCGATTTCTGGTATGTTGTCACAGTCCTAGACGGCTACCTCCTCTAAGGAGTGTGGATTGTTACTTCTTAAGAACTCCTACTGCAAGAAAGGGCAGTCGTGCCGATATCGAGATCCACCGCCAATAAGATCATTCCGGGATGGAATGACTTTACCGAGGGGGCAGTGTGACGATAATAGATAGTACTGTTGGCGCCATCTATTAGGAGACTCTCCTTCCCGTACCAGTGACTCGCCTTCTAGATCTACGCCAGGTGACCTCAAATATTCTAGATGCCGCTTTGTCGCTCGCCATACCTCTCTCGAAGCAGCGATTCGGAGTATATATAACTCGACGGCCGGGAGATGGAAGCACGGTGCGGGGTACATTAGAGTAGAGCGGAGTGGAGTGCAATCAATGGCGCGGCATAAGAATTAGTTAGACATAAATAGTGGTGTACATAAGTGTTCTATCTGGTCAAGTAAAGTAAAGAAGTGCATTTATTTTTGTGGAATCTCGAGTTTTAATCCACACCTAAAAGAACCCAGAAAAACACTACATTATATTCTGCGGTACAAGGGATTATATATTGAATGTATTTCGAATAAAAGACCATCCGCCTTTTGATGCACCAGGTAAGTATTCTAGAAATATAAGTTAACGAATGCAACAAATTCTTCAAAAGGCAACCCTAGCTTCAACTCATACAGATGTCACTCTTTATTGACAAAGTTTAATTCTGACAAATCAATATTCTCGTCTACAGCTTAGACTATGTGTGTGGTGTGGACATGTAATTATATTTTTCAATACAATACATCTGGTAGTAACAAACAGCATGTGACCACAAAGAATACTGCAAAGCTTGATCGTGAGACTGAAGAACTGAAACACGAAACCATTCCATTGGACGTTGGCAAGTTGATTCAGCAAGGGCGTCAAGCTAAAGGACTCAGACAGAAGGATCTTGCTACAAAAATCAATGAGAAACCACAGGTGATTACTGATGAACGGATTGCGAGCAAGAGGGTCAGCGTGTCGCGCGCGCCAGAAGGGCTACATATTTTAAGTTTAATTAAGATTCCCTATTTCCAATAAGTTTATATCTATAGGGGTTCAGTGAATACAGTGTCTCGCAACTTAATCGTGGTATTATTGTCTCAGCCGTTACCTTACCCTTGATGGTAGAGAGTCTCCCCAGAAACAGCTGAGTCAAGTCGGGATTATACACTTGTTGCCTCTTGGCCTACTGAGGCAAAAAAATGATTCCACCTGACAACGAACATGTGTTCCGCAAAGACAACAATAACATGACGAGATAATAAATATCCATACGAGCTTGCCAGGTAAAATAGACCTTTGGAAGCTTACGGTCAAGAACAATATACAAAATTTCTTTGTATTGATGAACATTGGTCAGAAAATGATCAAATTTAGTGCACTTGTATAAATGAATTTTCACTGGTTTGTAGTATTTGCAGATCTGAGAGCAAGTGTGGTGCAACGGCCATCTTTGCCCATGAGTCTGTCATCTCCGAGGTCTGTCCTATCCATATTATCAACGAGCTGACGAGCTCTCTTTGGAATTTGTGATTGAATTTTCTCCAGTTAAAATTCAACGTTTTTGTCTGATTAATATATATATATATATATATATATATATATATATATATATATATATAACTTGAGACGTGGTCATTGTCGTCTAGACCAGTTAGGTGAAAAATTAAAGCTTCCGCCTTTTGTTGGGTACTTCGAGAAAATTTAGGCAAAGAGGACTCTTTATACTTGTTTTAATTCTTTCTAGCTTTCAATGGACTTTGCCATCATCATCAGTAGCTGCAATTACAATGATAACAGTGGCAACAAAAGTGTAAAATGAATTTAAATTGAATCAACTTACAGTAGTATGTGAGGATGTTGCTAATTGTTGTTTTCGTATAGGATGAGGGAAACGTCCAGTAACATGGTGAGAGCTGGATACATGGTACAATGGTTAAAATTATATAAAATATGACAAGACATGTTAAAGACAGATTAAAAATTATTTAGAAAACATTAGAGCATTACGTCGTGAAGCCATTTGATGATTGCACAAAATGGTGGTCATGGAATAATGAGTGAGATGAACCAACAATTAGCAACATCCTCACATACTACTGTAAGTTGATTCAATTTAAATTCATTTTACACTGTTGTTGCTACTGTTATCATTGTAATTGCAGCTCCTGATGATGATGGCAAAGTCCATTGAAAGCTAGAGGGAATTAAAAAAAGTATAGAGAGTCCTCTTTGCTTAAATTTTGTCGAAGTACCCAACAAAAGGCGGAAGCTTTAATTTTTCACCTATATATATATATATATACCTGATGCAGGTAATTTTGAACTTTTTCAAGTCTAGCAGTTCTGAAGATGAGGAGATACTGCATGTGGAGAAAGAGATTTGGAGGAGACTTGGAGACATCCGAGTCACTTTCTAGGATATCTGGAGACCTGGAGCCTTTGGATGGACAAGCCACTTCAGCACGTGAAGCAACCAAAGAAGGTTCGGACACCAGGATAAACCCGCTACCAAACATAAGAGACACAAGGAAGCTTCACGGGAAACGTCTAAGAGCCGATCGCCTACTGCGTCCTGCTGTAAACGATTTGCTAACTTTGAAGGGCAAGTCAGTCAAATATTGAAGAATTCTGTTTCTAGTTTCTTAGGGAGCATGATGGACTTAACGATCGGCACGTTAACATTGAACTTAATAGATTTTTCGATTCTTTCTGCTTCTGTTTTCAGACATGCTTTTCACTATTATCCAGAATCAGAAAATCAAGGAAAAAAAGGCCCGATATAAAGAAGAAGAGAAAGGTCATACTTGGTGTCGAGGATCGAACTTGAACGAGATGAGGAAGCACATAAAAATTCTACCAAACGTAAGAGGGAGGAGTAGACGATATCCGTTGAAAAGAATGGTGGATAGTCACGAATAATTAAAGATCTGCTGGAGAAGGTTGTAGACAAAAAATCTGTGCTTCAGGTGCAAGTAAACAAAAAAATATCAGGGTGCAAGGCATTTTAAAAAGAGGTCTGAAAAAGACCTAGCGTTCCAAATAACCACGATCTTGGAAATAACCTCGGACGATCACGATGCTATTGCAGAAATTGCGACAAAGCAATGGACTGAGTCAACCTACAGGAGGACCAAGTGATTGATAGGAAACCCTCTGTGGGAAAGTACGGACTGCAGTGATCTGGTGCTGTGCATAGAGGCTGGACAGAGCACAGCAGGGTTTTCCTACCTCAAATAGAATAGACCAAAAAAGCTACTTCTAGAAAGGTAAAACTGCTACCAAATATAAGGATGGGAAAAGGAACACTGAAGCTGTAATTGTGTCTCCCAAGATATATCCTCTGCTGATCTCCTGAGGAAACCTAAACACGAGGCTAAGTTTGACGAACTCAGAATAAGTAGATAATGTTAGATCAAATGGAAAGATAAAGATTCCAACCTAGCTATTCAGTATTGCAAAAAGAGAATACCTGTCAAGAAAATAACTAAAGCTAGAGGGTACAAGGGGCTACACTTACCTGGTGTAAATATCTACTAGTGCTACTTTACGCCATATAGCCCATACAAGGAATTTGAAGACTACCTCGAAATACTTTGGAGACATTTTCTAGAAGCTTCATGCTTGGAGGTACCCAGGTCGTCTCTTCTAACTCACTAGCCTACCTAGGAGTTACCATAGACAAAGTGAGGACATTCAGGCAGCATATACACCGGGTAACCATCAAGGCAAACAAAGTTTCGGCCAAGCTTGCACGAATCATGTCCAACACACATGGTCCAAGCAGTGAGTGCCGCAAGGTGTTATACAGGGTAGTGCAGCCAATCATCCTGTAGCCAGGGCGTTTACGATGCTTTTTCAGAAATCGCGGGGATTTGGCTAAAGAGGTACGGCGCTCAGCTATTGCGGTACCCACTCCCGACTTTGCTAGAATGGAGAGGATCAAAAAGTCCCTTGAATTCGTGTTCACCGGAACAAACATACAAGTTAGGCTCCAGACTCCTACCGAAGACCAAGCCAAATCAGCTAATATCAGCTGCCACCAAATACAAGGAAGGAAAAAGGTGATGGAACACTGAAATCGTAGTTTTGTCTGCAAGGATATAACCTATGCTGATCTCCCGAGGAAAGTCAAACACGCGGCTTATTTTGACGAACTCAGAGTAACAGCGAAAGGGCGGAGGAGCATACCAATTTAACAAGATAGTGGCAGGGCAACCCTACAAGTCCGCAGTATGGCAGGTCTACTAGTGAAGACAAGCGGCATCTGTACTACCTCTCCGAGGACGTATAATTCAAGTCCGTCATTTCTGGACCAAATTCGCAAAGTAGACTAGCTCTAAACGGCGCCGATGTCCGACAGCGTCCCGCCGAGGGTGTGCACGGACATCAGTACCTCTGAGGACGAGGAGGAGGTTCGACCTCAGTCATGCTCAGTAGAATTCAATCTGCGAAGAAAAGATTGAAGCATGTTCTGTGCGTCACAGATATTACAAAATTTCATTTACCGTCGTCGATAACTTTCTCAGGATGCTTATCCACCGCGAGACCAGACTCATTCGGATAGCTCTCAGAAACCCTGGGCGCTGAGGATCACCCTGCCGAAGAGGCACATGTCATTCTTAGTGGAAGACTAGCAAGACCTGAAGGACCTAATGAATTCCACCCGGACCTCCCGACTGTGACGATCATATCGGGGTAAATGTGCATATTCAATCACAATCGCTTAAGAGAATGAATATGCATGCCTTCATTTTGCTACCAGACAACTGTAAAGCAGCAGAAAAAAATTCTTGAGTTGTGGACCAGCAGTTCTGAAGATGAGGAGAAACTGTAAGTGGAGAGAGATTTTGAGGAGACTAGGAGACATCCGAGTGACTTCCTAGGATATATTCATCCTTTGGATGGATAAACCACTTCCGAGCATGAAGCAACCAAAGAAGATGCCTGGGAAAACCCATCATGAGCGAGATAAACTCGCAACCAAACACATCTAAGAGACACAAGGCAGCTTCACCGGGACGTCTAAAAGGCGATCGCCTACTGAGTCCTGCTGGAAACGATTTGCTAACTTTGAAGGGTAAGTTGAAATCATATATCTCACTGGAGATGACACCGATAAAGAAGCGGAACATATAGAACGAATAAAGATGAGAAAAACTAGAAGGATAATATGAAGAGAGAAAGCAGAAACTATAATAGTAAAAGATACAGGGTGCGGCAGAGAGGATGGACGGTTTTAAAAAAATCATAAAATAGTTAATTTTTACTCGAAAACAAATTTATTGATGGAATCAAGTGTGGAAAATCACATCAGTCATGTGGTAGCCGAAACCGTTGATGCAGTGCTGGAGGCGTTCTTGGAAGTTCGCGTAGACTCTCTCCAACATCGCTCTCTCAACTTGCGCGACTACCACGCGAATTTCGCACTTCAATTCGTCCAGAGTTCGGGGCTTGTCCGCGTATACTCTAGCCTTGAGGTGTCCCCATAAGAAAAAATCGCATATGGATAAATCTGGGGACCGAGGAGGCCAATGAACATCGCCAAACCTGGAAATAAGGCGACCAGGGAAGAGAGGGTGAATAACGTCCATGGATGCTCGGGCTGTGTGGGCGGTCGCCCCATCCTGCTGAAACCACACACGTCGGATTGGAACACGTCGCCGTCGTAATTCAGGGAGAAAGAAGTTGGTGATCATGTCGACGCAGCGCTCTGAGATCACGGTAACATCACGACCATTACCGTCTTCGAAGAAGTAAGGGCCAATGATGCAAGTTTGCGATACGATAGCCCAATAACGACAATTCTGCTGGTTAACCATGCTGTTTAGATGAAAGTGGGCTTCGTCACTCATAAACAAAATGAGGTTTTCATTTTGATCAATCAGTGCTTACATCTCACGTGCGAAGTTCATTCGTTGTGCATAATCTCCAGGCTGAAACTGTTGCACAATGGACAATTTGTAGGGGTGAAAGCGGAGATCCATATACAAAATTCACCTTACCGAACGATAACTAAGGCGAAGTGGAGCAGCATGTTTCCGGGCAGATCGAGTCGGACTGCGAAGAAAGACCTGTCGAACGCGTTCAACATTTTCAGGAGTTCGAACTGTTCGCGGCGCTCCTCTTGGTCTTCTGTTGATCAGTTCACCACGCTTGCGAAGTAGTTCAACTCAACGAAGGATGGTGTTTCGAGAGGGAACAGCTCTATTCCGATGAATGTTGAAGTGGCGACGAAACTCACGCTGTACGATGATGACTAAATCATTATTTCGGACGAAACAATCATAGGCGAAAACGCGGTTCTTCACCGTCCAAGGCTCCATAACGGCAACTGGTAAAATAATGCTAGGATCTCATGAGTCAAACGGCACCCTCCCCACCTCTCTCGGAGACGGAGGCGGAGAGTACTACCCATCCCAAAAACGTGCGTCCTCTCTGCCACACCCTGTATGAAATGTGTCAGCGACATTCCAACTAAGAAAATGAGTAACCCCAGACCTGGAGACCGTGACCCTGCCTCAGTGGACCTAGATCTCTTCATCGATTTTCTTAGAAATAAGGAATGCACACCGCTATTGCACACAAGACTTGCAAACTCGCAAGGGGTCTTCCCGGTAATGCAAGCATATCGTGAAATGCCAATATAACTAAGGAGCTTAAAATTGTCCACGAACGATATACCACGGATCAGCTTCGTGATACGGCTGCGAAAAAAAACAGGTGAGCGTAACCATAGGAAATCTACCAAGGTTGCCTATAACTCAGCCCGACGGTCTATTAATATGAAGAAAAGAAAAGTCTTGCGCTGCTAAACTTAGCTTTCCTGCTAAAAAGGTAGCTGAGCGTTCCCGTAAACGCATGTCTTTCACCTGATCCAACCTCAGAATGTCGAACTTATCGTTAATGTAGTGCAGGTACCTGGGGTAAAGACTCAAATCCAGACTAGTGCACTAACCAGTTAGCCAGTTACAGCGCATGTTCAGAGACTAGGCCAGCCTAGGATATCTGAGTAGAAACGAGATAATTCGAGTACATCTTCGCCAGTCACTGCTGTATCAAAAAATCATAGCCTTCGACACTGATAAACATTCTATCATCAAATCAACAAGTAGTACCAAAAATGACTGTCAACCGTCAAGAAGCCAGTCAAACACCAATATTGGATATGCCACAAGTGACATGTGAATGAGCCAGCGATCTGGCACAGCAAAAAGTCATCTGCCAAGCCACATGATATGGCAAAGCGAGTAGTGCCTGCAATGATTGTGATGAATCCACAAGGAGTCTGTCCTAAGATTAAACTAACACCAGTAGTCGGTGCAAGGATGTAAACCCAGCTCGCCCTCCACCCAAGTAGCTGACCGAAGTATGCTACACATTCATCCCGGCTGGTTGACGTCAGAGGAATTTATCATAGGAGATGGGCTGAGACAGGGAGGAGTTCTGAGCCCGATATTATTCATTATGATTATGGAATCTGTACTACAAAGGATTGAAGACAACCAATTAAAATGGTTTGGGCATTTAGTAAGGATGAAGGATACAAGGCCAGTAAAACTCATATGGGAAGCAAGTGTTCAACAGAAAACGGCAAGAGGGCGACCGATAAAAACGTGGAAAGATGGATTGGCGAAAATACTCAAAAACAGGGGAATAAGTTGGAACGAAGCAGTGGGCTAAATTTGTATACATATAATAACTAATAGTTTTAGAGAATGAAATAATCTAATTGCACCTTACACCTACGGGTATATAAGGTTTTAGATAATATATATATATATATACTTGTCGTCCAAGATATGACGTTATGCGCTTGTTAAAGTCGACAGGTTTGCGTAATATTGCATTAATAGACCACGAGTATTTTTATCTCTAATAATTATTTTAAATTCATTTTAACTTAAAATTTATTTTTATACGATTTTCTTAAATGCTGAGACTTGGTTTATTTTAAAGCAGTTTTCAACCTTGCTTGGAAGCTTACCAAGTGGGGAATTTTTGCTTTTCGATGCCGGTTCATTGGTTTGATAACCATGGACGTTTGATCTATTCCGGGGGTAAAATTAACTTCAAACGTCTCTAACTTGGAGCCGAGGGTTACAAAGAAACCTCTGAAATTAGAAATGGAGTCACATATCTACCTTCCTTTTTCAGTTAGATGAACCAGCTTCCAATTCCTGAACCACATCTTTTTGGATGCTCTTTTCTGTTGCCTAAGACTTTGAGGTAACTTAATTTCACATTGGATTGTGTGATTTACGTATGTTTAATCAAAGTTTAACTTTTGGTCAGCATATAACTAGAAAAAAACGTAAGAAGCGTTGGTTACTTATGGCTTCATAGTAAGGAACTGCAGAAATTTACATATAATAAAGGCCATTAAGCTGTTATTTATTTATTGCCACAGAAATTTTACATTAATAAACTCCATAAGGAGATACATAGTAAATACCTGGAGAGAGGGGGATTAATCCCTCTGTGCTCAGGAGCGATAAAAAATATTATGTACTAAACTAAAATTAATATAAACAATAAAAAATTATATATAAAGTATAAAGAATTTCATAAGCATAGGGTGTTTTCAAAGTCGAGTCATTTTAACAGCTTGTAGAACTCGTCAAAAGTAGTTGATACATCAGAAATCATCTATATAAAAGTTGCATAATTAGAGAGTTAGTTCACATTATCAAAAAATGTTTAAGAAAAATCATTATCAAGTTAAATTGATACCATTTTTACAAAAAGTGTTGAAAATTGTCCCCATTTTCCCAAGCTTCGAAAATAAAATATTGGTGTCTGCGAATTAAATCACAAGCATTTTCAGTGCGCTGTTGAAGTCCTTCCAGAGTATTTAGAGCTCCATCACGGTACACCAACTCTTTAAAAACAACCCACAGAAAAAACGCAAGGCGATAAATCCGGACAGCGAGCAGACCAAGAAATGGCTCCATTGCGTCCTATCCACCCTTCCGGAAACTCATTATTTAGATAGGAGTTACCAACCAGGGGGACGCGCCTGCTAAGGCGTTTGCATTTTAGAAAAAAAAAACAAACGACATTAACAAATAACATTACAATGTAATCACTAATTTACTCACATAAAAATAAAAATTTAATATCATATTCACTTATTCTGTCAGCCGCTGTTTCAAAACCCGGCGTCGTCAATCGCAGTTCATGCAAGTTTGGAAAAGACAATATGAAACCCGCGCGCATCCCCACCGCGCTCCACTTAACATTGATCACTTAGAAAACTATTGTGTACTTTCCAAACGCGGATGAGCATATGTGACATTCATTCCCACAAACTTGTGAATAATTTGACGTTTTGTTGTACATGTTTTGTTGAGAAATCTGTTTGAGTGTGTCAAATTGTTCTGTCTCACAGTTAAAAGGTAAGTTTGTGTTTTTACAGACTTCAGTTACCATTTTTATTTAATTTACCAAATTGTCGATTAAGTAGAGACGCGTTCATAGATCGGCTATTGGGACTTTTTTACCACATCACAATCAAACCAACGTGGCGAAATACTTTTGAAACGACGAACTTGAAGTACATCATATTGATTCCAAATGTATATGAATATTCAGGGGTTCATATCAAAGCTTCATCTTTGGAATCGAAAAGTGTCTTCTGAAAATGTTATATTTTTCTCTCGGCTGTTCGAAGCAATTGAATATAACATACTGGGCGTAAATTTAAAAGCTGACACATTTGCAAGCGCTGGAAGACGAATTTCGCCGATACTATCGAGACATCAATTCAGAGTCACCAATATGGCACATGACAAGAAATCCATTTGTTGTCAATGTGTCACAACTACCAGAAGAAGTTCAGGAAGAATTTCTAAAAATTAAGGCTGATTCGTCCATGAAGGATGACTTCCATCTTTTAGCATTAGAGAAATTTTGGATCAAAAGATTGCCTGTTAATTCGACACTTGCCTCTCTTGCTTTACGAATATTAAAACTAAACGGCGAAATCGTCTTGATGTCGATAGCAACCTGATGATAGCTCTGGCAAAAACAGAACCTAGAATCAACCAACTGGTACAGAACATGCAATCTCAAATGTCTCATTAGTACCTACTCTTATTTTATTCCTTTATTAGAATTAAAATAAAAATCTTTGTATCGATATAATGTACGTTTTTTTGTATTTATTGAAATAGTAAAGGGGGCATGAAAATATATTTTATAGTCCGGAGAGCTTCAGCAAAAAAAATGAAAAGGCTATGTTGAAAATTCTTTTTACAGCATGCGGATTTTATGCTGCCCAAACATGATTCTTATGTGGCCTCATCAGTGTCTCTATTCTTGATTTTAATAGAAAATCACACTCTCCCTCTTTTTCTACTCCCGCGGTTTTCTATCGATTTGAAAATACTGTATTCTTGAAAGGACTCGATAGAAAGGAGAAAGGAAATCAAGACACAGGGTTTTCAGATTTGGGTAAACGTGTTAAACCAATCAAAATGGACATATTTTTGACAGTAAAAAACTAACCAAAGATTTTGGTCATGATTTCCTCCTTATAATTTTATCTACGGAGCCGAAAACTTTAAAATACACATTTCAAATGAACAAAAGGACAAAATGATTGAATTTCTCCGGGAGCACCTGGGAAAATTCAATCATAGGTTAAATGATACTATTTTAGGATGACTAAAACTTAATATCTACTCATCTACTCTTGTCTTTGTTGTGATCGAAAGTGCAGAAGCTCATGGGGGTGGTTATATGAATGGAGTCAATATCTCCAGCAATTCATACACCAAATCTTTGGTCAAGCTAAACATATGTACACATTTTCGATCCGAAATTATGAAAGGATCTCGGCGCCCAAGAATATCTCTCCCAATCTCTCAGTTCTCAACATCCTCGTTAATAATATCGTTCCAATACATCAATTGATTGAAATTAACCAATATGTTTAGCAGGAACGATAATAACAATGCCAAATACACTTCAATTTTTAGGTTATATGGCGCTATTTTCTACTAATTTTTCAGGTTTCTCTTGGTCGGTACCAAGAGAAATCGCGACTCCCTAAAGTGAATTCATTTCTATCACTTTCCGGTAGAATTGATTTCAAGAATACTGCATTTCTTGGCCACACCTACTTTTTGACACTTTCTCTCACAATTTCTACTCCCTCAAACTCAAGAATAAAGGTCCTGCACACAAAATTAATTTCCTAAAATTTTAATTCTTGACGAATTGTTCGAAAAGCCACGGGCAAAATGCAACTTTTCTAGGATGATTTTCAGGTTGTAACGCTTGTACCCGTTGATAATGATAAGGATAACACTGTTATTATGCTACTTTTATATGGGTGATTTTTGTCCTACAAGTAGCTAAAATAATTTAAACAACTTTGAAAACCCTGTATAGTAATAATATAATATAATAAGCTGTTATAAAATGCATATGTTTATTCAGAAGTTGAATATTGTGGTATTATCTCATACCCTTACTATGAATGGTATAACACAGCTATTGAAACAGTAGAGCGGATAGCGGATGTTTTCAAAATTTGTTTTGTTCAGGATTGGCATAACATATCCAGCGCGAGGTGCAATCAATAGGAACTGTGTAGTCGTTTGAAACAAAGTAGTGGCTGTGCGTCATTATTATTTGCTTACTATGGTAACTGTTCAACAATTTAATTTATTGCTCTACAATCCTAAGATAAATTAAAGTTAATAAAATCCAAATGCTGAAAAATTTTCGAGGAGTCCTTTGAAATTAGAATTAAAGAATCACATACCTACCTTCCTTTTTCAGTACGATGAACCAGATTCAAATTCCTGAACCACATCGTTTTGGATATCCTGCTGTGTGCAGGATAGTCGAATGATGGCTCCAATCCGGGCTCCATATCCAGTTACTATTGGCCCAGGTCCGGCTACAATTCCACCACTTTATCCTTACCCGATTTGGTTTAAAAACCGATTGGTCCAGTTCGGCAGCCAAAGGCCAACAATTTGGTAGACACACCATGTGCGAGGCCGCCCTCTAACGATACGTTAATTACGTTCCCTTGTCCCACCTCAAGGAGTGTCGTCAGCATACAGTCTTCCCTTAAGTTTTCACAACAGTGGCGTCTCGTGGCTCTATTTGCTTTGCGGCAGACCCTGCAGTTTTGAATAAGTTCAATGAATTGGGAATTCCTGGGCCACAATTCGAAATGTCCTCTTAAATAATTATAAAATTATACATAGCATTTAGGTAAAACAAACGGTGACTCTCTTCTGAAATTTTAATGTAATTTTATCAAAATTAGCTTTGTTGGAACTACGCAGTCTTTCGTTAGTTTCACCTGCTCCTCTCTAATGATAATTTCCAAACCGCATCTGTCAACGCGTACGTCGACAGTAGAATCGTATCCAGCCTGGCGCACTTAACTCCTATCAGCTAGGGGAAAATTCTAAAAACCTAGCTGTTTGTCTCCTCTTTTTCATATTTTCCCACAATCATGACAAATATTAGTAATATGCTAGCCTTCGGAAGTCTTAGATATCCCATGATACGCCTCTGACGCGTGACCGTTCAGTGCCCGGGGTAGCTTCTAATGGTGCGTTTTCACGCTCATGCAATTTGCGCAAATTGACTTGTGCAAGCCAATTTGTGCAAGTGAATTGGTACATGAAAACGAAGATTGTTTACTTGCGCAAGCCAAAAAGTTTAGCTTGAGTAAAATCTGGATGGTCAGATAATTTGCATGTGGTTGGCACAAAAGCATGAACGTGTAAACAACGCACCAATTCGACGCATGCGTAGTGGGTAAATAATAGTAAACAGAACGTGCACGTGGCTTTAATTTTCGGCTGTTGTACGGTATTTTGTTGTGATAAATAATGTCAAAGAAAGAAAAAGAGTTCATGGTAGAGTTTATGAGCTCTATAAATCTTTTCCTTGTCTGTGGAAGGTGAAATCAAAACAATACAGCGACAGAAATGCTAAGTCTAAGGCGTATGATATTCTCGTGGAAAAAATGCGCACAGTTGAAGAGAGTGCAAATCGAGAAATTGTAGTAAAGAAAATAAATTCTTTAAGAACGACGTACAGGGAAGAATTAAAAAAAGTTCTAGATTCTGAGAGGTCCGGTGTAGGCACCGACGATGTATACGTTCCACATCTGTGGTACTTTGAGTTACTCAGCTTTTTGCGGGACCAGGAAAGTCCAAGAACCTCTGTGTCAAATATGGAAGACGACAATGAAACGCAGGTAAATTTCTTGTTGTTATTTATTCACCTAATAATTCATTAATACATTCAGTGTTGGATCCACGGGGGGACGGGGGACTGGGGAGGAATCCCCCCAAAAAAGGTTTCCACAATGTATGACATCGAGGTAGCACTGGAAGAAGTATTGAAAAGATTTTCTAAAATGGTCAAACATCGTATAAATTTCAATGTATAAAATTGATGTTTATATTTACATTCAAAATAAAAAATATTTCTCTTGACGCATTATCACAAACATTACATTTTCGAATTCCCCCCCACCCAAAAAATTTCCTTCTGGATCCGTCCTGAATACATTAGTAAGTGTCGTTAAATACTTGGGTTAGAAACCATTTTATGTTGCCATGAAACATTACCAGAATTATTGAAATAAATTTCAAAACTTTTCCTCACTTTTGCCTTCGTTAGTGTAGATTGTGACTGCTTGCAAGATCTAACAAACTGTGATTCTGTGTTCGCAGTCCCTGGGTAATGACACCAGTAGACGTATCTTCAACGTCAAATACGTCAAGAGGTGTATATGAATTCACCGAAATTCTGCGTAGAAAATTGTGAAGTGCACAGCATGCCAAAACAACTTTGACAATGTTATCAGCTTTTAAATTAATACATGTATGAAATACTCTAAAACGATTAGCCAGAATACCAAAAGTATTTTCTACTACTCGTCTAGCTCTACTCAAATATTGAATACTTTTTTTGGATAGTCCAGCTCTCTTTGATTATACGGTTTTAAAAAATCGTGTCGTATTGCGAATGCTTCGTCTCCTACAAACACATAATTCAATGTTGGTTCACCGGGTATAACTGTCTCTGGTGGTGGCAAAATTTATTTGCTGCCAAATACTTCATAAATTTGGTGTTTTCAATGACCCCTCCATCAGATACTCGACCGTTGGTTCCAACATCACAGTATATGAACTCGTAATTAGCATTTGCAATTCCCATTAAAACTATGCTGGAGGTTTTCTTATAATTAAAATAATATGATCCACTTCCTACGGGAGCTGTAATTTGCACATGTTTGCCATCCATAGCGCCTAAACAATGTGGGAAATCCCATCGTTCTTGAAAATCCAGTGCAATTTTCTTCCATTCCTCTGTAGTTTTCGGAAACTGTAAAAAATAATTCAATGTGCATAACTACTAACTGTATCCTTTGTACGTAATATGTGGATCATTTACTAGTTTTTCTTTTTAGAATTCTGAGACACATGGAGTTCAGTCCGAAGATAATTCGTCTCAACCAGCCACCCCACATTCAATTATATCTGAACCACTTACACCTCGGCCAATACCACAAGCAACTTCTAGAGCAGCAAAAATGCGTAACGATAAATGTGATGAAGTCCTGGATGTAACTCAGAAACGCTTTACAATGCCTTCTGATGTTGACGCCAAGTTTACGCTCATTGGAAAAGCTTGGACCTGCAAGTTAAAGGAACTTTCGCAAGTACAAGCAACTCCGAACTCTAAATCGTTATTGTACCTTGCATATACAACATCCATTATACAATCAGCAAATAGTACCGTGTTTACAACCAGGGTCATCATAAAATCATCAAATCACGCCATCTTTGGCGACGCCTCCTTTACAAACAGGACCATACTCTAAGCACCAGATACAATCAAGTTCACAAACACTTCTGCGATCTTCTCTTTTTTTTGTCTTTAGGCACTTTTAACTTTTTAATTAAACAAACACCAGCTACTGCTAATAATTCGTCTTCGTAATCCATCTTCAGCTTTGCCCAACGACAATCTGAACTGTACTTTTTTAGACAAACTTGTCCATGATTCTGGGCCGGTAAACTGTACGTTAGGACGCTCACACCAATTCAGTTTAATTTGCATGCATAAGTTGATTGGCGCAAATAACTTGAGCGTGAAAACGCACTATAACATATGCTAACCAAATGGTTGATTTTCAAGTTTCTCAGCACTCCTTTAGTTGTAAAACTTTATAGTTATAGCAACCAAATGTTATTACAGAATAGATCTCCAAACCACGCTTTTGTCCCGGCCTAAATGTCCATCTTTATAGCATCCAGTTCTATTATCTGTTTTCTTCGAAATATGGATTTCATTTCCCTTGGCGTTCGCTGGGTGGTTTGCAGATGCGAGTGTTTGTTCTGTCCTTAGTTTTTATGTTTATTTTTATTTTATGGACGAATTTTTACAAGGGTAGGCAGCATGACGAATTATTTCAACGAATTTAGAAATTGATAACTTGGTTGGGTACAAAGCGCTTCTTGTTGGGATCGGTGGTGGGGGAGCCGACAAATACGACGGTGTTGCTCAATTTTGCCTAGCGTCATCCGCTATAAACAATCTCTAGAGATCTTATACCTCGAAACAACACATCTATTGCCAGAGTCCCAGATTATGCTGGCTTATTTTAACAGTTAATTTATTAGATCGAAGCAGTAAAAGAAGACAAAGGACAATTTATTCGTCAGACTTACCATAAAGTGGGCCAGAAAGTTCTTGTTTCGATGGGATGCAGCGTTTACCGTGGGCTGATGGACTGTCTAAATTAGCAAAAATGTTTACTTAAGTTTCCTCATCTACGCCGACGTCAAACAGAGACGAGACAGAGACCTCATGTGACAAAAACCATAAATGTTGGCAGAACTTTTTAAAGCTTCTTTTAAAATATATTTTTCAATTGTTTCGTAAGAAGCATAAATCCTCGTTAAGTGCTTATACCGCTGAAATGCATTGCAACCACGGTTTCACGTATGTTATAACGATGAACAGACAGATATCTAACAAAGCTACCTTATTCTTATTAGAAAGTTTGAGCCCTTGTACTTGATAATGCTATTTTTAATGAATAGATTGCTCTGGCCATCCATCGAGCTCGATGCATGGCGCCTGGCGGAATCCTGAAGTTTTTCTCTGTAACCCCGCCAAGGAATATTATTGAAAGTTCTATTAGTTCTCGTCTAATTTGGTTCAATTTCTGCATAAGAACGTCTGATAGCTGTCGTTTCGCAGATTGGATAATTCTGCAGGAACATTGTGAAATAACCTTTCCTTTGTTTCAGTCGGTCAGCTTAGGTTCATTATCCTGCGAAAAGATAGATGATAGATATTTCATTGTTCCCCATTTTTTCAGCAATGTTATTCAAGTTATTGCACAAAATGTCAACAAACTTGTCTGTACATAGTGCTTTCCAATACCATTCCACGACATAAAGCCACAGACAAAATTTACCTGCCACCATGTTCCACTGTTAGGCTGACATGTTGATATTCTTATTTATTTATAGATCTTACTTATATATATGGGAAAAAACATTATTATACATTATGATGAGGAAGAGAGATGGAAATATACTAAATTATGTAGGTGCGTGAAAGACACTCGATTGTAGGATCCTATCTGGCAGCGTCGGAGTGTGACGGACAACGGGGTAAAGTAGAAGAATGATAAAAGAGAGAGGCAGAACGGGCGCTGGCGCCCGCTGCTTAGACGGATGCGCTCAACAAATGCGATTTGTTTCTCCCATTCGCAGAGTTGCCGATACCAATATGTCATATTTCTAAGAAATCTAAGTCTACCCAAATTTCAGGGAAAATAGCTGCGGATTCTACATAAGAGTATTCCAAAAATGAAAAAAGTTCAAACTATTAAAATTGTATTAATGTTTCATGGTTCAAATCATATTTTTCATGTTTGTATATTGTTGTATAAATGATTTTGTAATCCCTATTCTTGTCGCCAGTAGAAATACAACAGTATTGAGAGAAATCATGGACCGCTAGATAGGGCTACAACTACCATATGACTATCAAATAGTAGTGATAAACAGGGTTTGTTTATAGCACAGTTGCCTGGTGTGGCGAATTTGCGCCACGGGGGCGATTTGACAACTTTGAAGGACAACTATAACGGGTACTATGGTGCCCGGTATTCGGGAATCTGGCAATATCTGATGATTCCTAACGTTTATTACGCCAGATTGTTTGCTGACTTGCGCAGTACAACATGACAATCAACGTGACTGAGCACCTGGTAACCCTGGTTTAAGGTGTTATATTAAAAAGCTTGGGGCAGTTAGGTATCTAGGTCACATTTTTTAATGTATTTCGAGAAATCCGTAATGTTGAGTAAATACTAGATCACGTTTCTTGCTTAGTTTGCCGAAAATTCTACAATAGACGTACATTTTGAGAAACAGAGATTTGGTTACGACAAAATCTTAAAAATATAACGCATTTTCGTAAAATAATTTCTTTGTTGAAAAGACTGTGGTTTGATGACCCATTGAACGAGGATAGTATCCCGCTCCGCTTTGAATATTCGAAACACTATACTCCAGCAGCACTCAGCTTCAATGTTATCTTTATGAAGTTCTAAAGTCTAGGCCATGCTGATTAAAAGCTTGAATGAATCAACACTTAACTCTAAATTCCCCACAATTCGGGAAGCTCTACTCAAATTGGCAACACAGCGTATCTGCCTATTATTCTCATTGAGTCGATAGAAGAAGTACAGTAGATGCGCGCATTACGCACCAGTTCGATTGGACGTCCTGTGAACCGATTTCGCTGATTTTGAGATTTCACGAAATCACCTACATCACTCTACTTATTTTTATCAGAGGCGTAACTAGGGTATGGCAAGCAGGGCACGTGCCATGGGCGCCACTCTATTGGGGGCGCAAAGTGACACCTCAACTTTTTTTTAAACAGTATAATTAAAAAATAATGTAAATTAACACACAAACACAAGGCACATAAATCGTTTATAATAACAAAATTTTTCCCCACAAACACTGGCAACCCAAGTAAACAAGCACTAGCTGGCAACAGTGGCAACGCTTGAAGAATAAACTGAAATCACAATCGCGTACCAGCTGGCAACCTGCCGAACTCACGAGCAATGGCCGGCTGCGCGAAGATCGGCGCTACGGCTTCCCGCCAAAGGAGTCTGCGGGCTGGTTGTTAGTTAGGCTGTGCTTCTGGTGTAAACATAACCTTCGCTGAGTGTTTTTCATCTTATTTTTCTCAACACAGTGAAATATTGTTGAATCGTTTGATTGTCACATAAAGATACAAATTGTGTAAGGAGCGACCCTTTCGGTAAGTATTCATTTTTATCGCAGAATATATTTTTATTTGTTATATGATGTCTATAATCACTAATTTTGGAAATTCATTATCGAAATTGCATTTTGTTATATGTACATATCAGATCGTCATTTAAATTTTAATAAATATGACTGAATTACTTTTTTACATTATATGCTGCCCTAGCAAACGTTCGTTGATTTTTTTACCGACAAATTTGTCAATATAATTTTATAATTATGTAAACAAATATTTTATAATTTTATTGTCTTATGATTTTTACTTTTTCACCAACAAATTTTCTAGTAGTGACATTACGACAAAATCGAAATTTAGCATTAAGAAAAAAGTTGAGCAACTTTTCACGTGTTTCAATTCTGCTAAAATCATATAAAAAATTAAACTACGCTTGGAAATGCTTTTCCCAACTAATAATTAGTATCAATTAAGTTTAAAATGACTGGGTGAACGAAGAACTATTGATTACTCAGCTATGTTTGTTTAATAATTTTTCTCTAATATGATTTAAAAGAAAATATTTCTAATTCAAAATCAAAAATCACTTAATCATTTGTGAATAACGACGTCTTAAAATAAAAAAAGCGTGCCACTGAGAAAATTGATTGTTTTACTGACATTCAAGAGGGTGTGCAATGCAATCAAGTTAAAGTGACAATGTTCTAAGAGTGGAATATTATTTTTTTTGTAGAATGGACGTGAAAAACGCAAAAAGCGGAAAGAGAAAGGAAAGCGGAGCTGATGGTCGGAAAAGACGTAAAGTAGAGAAACATGAATCGGAAAAATCAAGCAAGTTCCTCAAGGCCTTTTTGAAGAAGTCAAATGAGAACAAATCATCCTGTTTCGAGAAATCACCATCACCTGATGCAGTTTTTTCAAAATCAAGGAATAGCTCTAGCGAATCAGAAAAGGAGGAAATGGACTTATCGCCAAAAAAATGCAATTCGCCAGAAGAAGAAAAATTACCAGAAAATAACATTTTACATACAAATGATTTCGAAAAACTTCCTAGTGAAATAGAAAACCTGATACAATACCATGACATCGGGCATCTGAAATTTGATGAAAATTCTGGGAAAGCAATTGTAACCAACACAACCAGACTAGAAATAATTAAGCTCGGTTGGAAATATTTTCAAAATTCGGACGGGCCATTTCTACCAACAAACAATCGTTCGATGACTCAAAATTGGTTCAAGAAACAGTTAGGAGATGGACGTGGTGAAGAAGTTACTCGATCTTGGCTGGTGTACTCCCCGTTCAAGAAATCAGCATTTTGTCTTTGCTGCATTCTGTTTTCAAATTCTGAACATCAGTCGTCGTTGGAGAAAGAAGGTGGATTCACCCAGTGGAAGGCACGCGAGAGGATCATCATTCATGAAAACTCCAAGAATCATCGAGAAAATTTTGCACGGTGGAAAGAAATGGAGCTCAATTTTACTCGAAGTGAAGGTTTTGTTGATGCAAGGATATTGTCACAGTTCGAGGCAGAAAAACTTAAATGGCGTGAAGTTTTGACAAGAATTCTCCATTGTATCAAGTTTCTAGCTACGCAAAATTTGGCTCTGCGAGGACACAGAGAGCCACATCATATGCTTGACAACTCTAATGTCGGAAATTTTCTTGGTTTGCTGAAACTAGTATCTATATTCGATCCAGTTATGAAAGAACACCTGAGAAACGCTGAAAGTCATCCTGGGTCCACTTCGTATCTTAGCCCATGCATTCAGAATGAATTTCTTCACCTTATGGCATCTGCTGTTCGCTGGCGTTTACTTAAAAGTATTCATGTGGCCAAGTATTATGGTCTCATGTTCGACTCAACTCCCGATATTGCCCATCGCGATCAAATGTCAGAAGTCGTGAGGTTCGTGGACATTGATTTTGAAAAAAAAACAGTACAGGTGAAGGAAACCTTTCTTGGCTTTATTGAAATTACCGTGAAGAATGCTAAGGGACTGGCGAATTGTATTTTAGAACAGTTAAAGAAAGATGAAATGGATTTTCAAGATTGTCGGTCACAGTGCTACGATAATGCTGCTGTAATGGCTGGGCACAAAAATGGCGTGAATGAAAAACTGACAGAAATAAATAGACGTGCATTGTTTGTAAACTGTGACAATCACTCACTCAACTTAGTTGGTGTACATGCAGCAAAACAAAATGTAACAATGGTCACTTTTTTTGGAACGATCGAAAGTCTATATGCATTTTTTTCTCGTTCAACAAGCCGTTGGGAAAAACTTAAGGAAGCTATACCAGTTGTCATAAAGTCCAAATCTGAAGCCAGATGGAGCGCAAACGTAGAAACAATAAAGCCAGTTAACAACTATTTGGAGAAAATTCTGGGAGTTCTTGAAGAAATGACCGAAGACAAGAATCAAACAAGTGAAACAAGGAGTGATGCCCAGCAACTATTCAACCGAATGTTGAAGTATGATTTCTTGATTTTGCTGGGATTTTGGAATAAAGTACTCATCCGCATTGACCGCGTTCAGAAGAGGCTGCAAGATCCCACGATGAATTTTCACGATGCTGCTGAAGATTTGAAGGCTCTTCAAAATTATTTTGAAAATGAAAGAGAGGCCATCACTGATAGTTCACTCGAGGAAGGGATCATTTTATGTCAAAAATGGGACGTTGCAACTGAAAGACGCCGAAGAAGAATAAAAAATATGGCTGGTGAGATTTCGATTGATGCAGGTTTGAGTGCCATGGAAGAAATGAAAAGAGTCTTGAAAGAAACAGTTGATCGTCTATTTCAAGAAATGAACGGAAGATTCGTACGGTTGAATGAAATCGATGAAAAATTTGGATTCCTTCTCGATGTCAAAGGTCTTATTTATGACGAAAAAGAATACGATCTCAACAGTGGCGGCCGGTCCATAGGGGCGAAAAGGCTACAGCCCCCCAAGACAAAATGCGAATTAACAAAAAATTTAAAATATGATTTTGTGATTAAATAATTTCCAGATATATACGAAAATTCAATCAAAACCTGAATTTTAATGGTAGCCAGTTAGGCAACACGCAATATATATATATATATATATATATATATATATATATATATATTATCCGATCCCAATACCCCGAAGTCGCGAGCTAGATTCCCTATCGATTCGAGGCTAGAATAATTTTTGCCGCGATCGCCGACCTGATTGAGTGGCTCGCTACGTCATACCTCCCACGCGCTTACGAGTTTTATACGGGATGAGTTGGCGAAATAATTTTTAGCCAGTCCCGATTTACGTGTGTACGAAATCGCTTCGTCGCGTCCCGTGCCGTCGTTCGGGCGTTCAAAAAGTTTAAAATGGCAAATGAAGTACAAAATTTGTTAAAAGGTGAATTTTCTCGGCTTCCGCTTGCTGAAAAAATAATAATAAAATCCCTTGGAAGGCCGATTCCAAATATCAACCTTACTCAGGCTGATAAATCGACGAAAGCTGGTTGTTTTAAGAGACATTTTAAGAAAGATATCTATAACAAAAACAAATGGATATGCGGTTGTGGCACATTAAACGCCCTGTTTTGTTTTCCGTGCTTACTGTTTTATTCAGATGCAGCGGAAAAGACATGGACAAGAACTGGATTTAAAGATTTAAAGCATATAAACCAGAAAATTAGTAAGCATGAAAATTCGGCTCGTCACATGATTTGTTCGACAGAATTAGCTTTATTGGGAACAGCTAGTATCGCTGCTCAGTTAGATTCCGCTTACAGGCAAAATATTATTAAGCACAACGAGCAAGTGGACAAAAATAGATATCTTTTAAAAAGAATAATAAACTGTATAAAGTTTTGCGGTAAATTGGAATTAGCGTTAAGAGGGCACGACGAAAGTGAAGACTCTGAAAATCGTGGCATTTTTCGAGAGTTGATTAATTTTACGTCCGAACTGGATACAATATTAAAGGAACATTTAAAAAGTGCGACTCTGTTTAAGGGTACTTCTAAAACAGTACAAAATGAAATACTAGATAGTATGTTGGAAGTCTGCCAACAAGAAATTCGACAGCAAATTAATGCAGCAGAGTTTTTAGCTATACAGTGCGACGAAACAACAGATATTTCACATCATTGTCAAATGGTAATGATATTTAGATATCTCCATGAAGGTGAAATACAAGAAAGATTTTGGCGTTTTTTGAGCGTTACGGACAAGACAGCTGAAGGTTTGGCAAAGTGTATCGAAGAAGAACTAGGCCCATTATTAAAAGATTCACCCCACAAATTAATTGCGCAAACTTATGATGGTGCAAACGTAATGAGCGGTAGCAGTGGTGGAGTTCAAACAAAAATATCAGAACGCTCATTTTATACACTGTTACGCTCACCAACTGAACTTAATTATGCAGAGAGCAGCCAGCCAAAATCCAAAAGTAAAAGTGTTTTTTTCAAACCTGTCGGCAATTCCAAGTTTCTTCTCCAACTCCACGCACAGATGCGATTTATTGGAAAAAATAGTTAAAACCAAAATGCCAAAGGTTGCGCCAACACGGTGGAATTATAACATTCGCACAGTCAGTGCCGTTTTTGAGAACCGTGAAAGTCTTATTGATTGTTTCCGGGAGTTAGAGAATAAATGTGATAAAACAATTACTAGTAAGGAGGCATACGGTTTAAGAAGAGCACTCGAAGATTCTGATTTCATCTTTTTTTTGACTTTTTTTCACAAAACCCTACTGCACGTAGCTATTTTGTTTAACCAGTTTCAAAGTAGCAATAAAGACAGTGTACAACTTTTAAAAGATATTGACGTATTTGAGAAGGCCATTGTATTGATTAGGGACACTACAGAGGATATACAGCAAACTGTTGAAAATGAGCATGGAGACAATGGAAATAAACGCAGAAAAGTAGGACCCGAAGAAAGAAATTGTATTATTGCAAAAGAAGTTTGCGATATAATAATTGTACAGACAAAAGAGAGACTTTCTTACAGGGGTCATCTAGAAGCTGCATCTTTATTAGATACACAAAACTTCACAAACTATTCGAGATATTTTCCAGCAAAAATACTGAATTCAGTTGTGACTTATTATCCAATGGTAAATAAAGAAAAACTGAAAACCGAATTAGAAGTAATGTACATGAGGGAAGACTTCAAAAATATTACAGGTGGTTTGAATTTGCTGTCCCTATTGACTAATAACAACCTAGAGGAAACTTTTAGCGAAGTAACTAAGTTGTTGCAAATAATTATAACTACTCCCATGTCAACTTCCGAAGCAGAGCGCTGTTTCTCAACCCTTAAGAGGATAAAATCGTTTTTAAGAAACTCGATGGGCAATGAACGACTGAATGCATTGGCAATGATGTCTGTTAATAAGAATCTGGTACATAATATCAGCAATTTCGACGAAAAAGTGATGGAACATTTTATTTCACAGAAAGACAGAAGATTAGACTTTACATATAAACATTAAAAAATATTTTGTAATAAATAGAAGTGTGAAGTGTGACAGTTGAAACACAATGTTTGCTCTAGCTGTAGGTAGGTATACTTAGTCGTTTATAATACAATAATACATTTAGGTATACCGTATTTCTGTTCTCTTTTCCAGTTATTTATAGTTACATGTGTTGTAAGAAAGTGAAAAACTATACTTTTGAGTACTGTTGTTCTTTTGATAATAGATGCTCTGTTGCTTTCATATTAGATGCTGCTTTCTTTTGCGATAAGTTCTCGTACCTAAAATATGTTTGTTCCTATACAGAGGACTGTACATAAAATATATAGGTATAGGATTGCCAACTGATCCATCCACAAAATCAGGACATAAAAAATGCAAAAAAAATTATAGCTCTAAAAATGTATATTTGAATTTGAAGGCTCAAAATGGAAGTTTTTGGGCGTGGCACCGTAAAAATTCTTTGCCTCCGGCGGTGACTGCGGCAGGCCACCCTTCCCTACAATAGCCCCCCATTTATCACAGCCACCGGCCGCTACTGGATCTCAAAAAAAAATGCAACGAGCTAGGTCAATTCTACGTAAGTGATATTGATGGAAATGAACTTTATGAAGAAATCCTTGACTGCAGGATGTTGCTCACGAGCCGAAAAAACATCATTTCAAGTCCAGAAACACTGCTCGAATTTATTGTTCAGCTCGGAGATGAAAGCGTGTTCCCGAATCTTCGCGTCGCAATTCAAATTCTACTGACAATAGCAGTTTCCATTGCTAGCTGCGAGAGATCCTTCAGCAAGTTAAAACTTATACTGTCTTATTTAAGAACTACAATGGGTCAAGAAAGATTGTGCGATTTAGCGTTATTAAGTGTAGAAAGGGATGAAACTGAAAAAACTGATTTCAATGATCTTATTAATGAATTCGCGTCAAAAAAAGCAAGAAAAGTACAACTGTAATTTTCACGAAAGCTTTGATTGTTCTAACAAATTAGTTAAAGAAATATTATTGTGACGATGCGAGATCTTGTAATAAATAATTTGAATCTAACCTTAAACGTGTTATGTTATTATTGAAAACCAGCATCCTGGAATAATATATAATCTTGAAAATGCAAATTTTATTTCCATTCTTTAGCATTATGATATTGAAACAAATTACGAAGAATTTCTTATTAAATTACTATTAAAAATTTTTTAAATTCATAAGAATTAAAAACAAATATATAAAGATTAAATACAACAAATTAATAACTTTATAGAAAAAAGAGGAGTGGGGGGGGCGCAATTTTTTCGCTGCCATGGGCGCTACGTCCTCCAGGTACGCCTCTGATTTTTATGAATGGATAATTGGTTTTGTAGCAGTAAAGGTTGCGTCTCATAACAAAAATAACAAAAACAAAACATAACGTTGCGTCTCATAACAAAAAATAGTACACTCTTAAAAATGTGTAACGAAAATAAAAAGATATTCTAACAAAAAAATAAGTTCTCAAAAATGAAACGCAATAATAAACACAAATGTTTCAAATGGTCCTTCACAGCTGGGGCTCAAAAACGTCTCCTTCATTCAATGAACAGTATGTCAGGCGGTTATAAAATTCCTGACGAACTCTCCAGAGGGTAGAAGGCTGTATTTGCCCGAGCGCTTCAACGATTTTCACCTGTAGGTTATGCAAATTGTCTGCTCTCTCATTGAAAGTGTAAACAGTACTTTTCACATAACCCCACAAGAAGAAATCATTGGGCGCTGGATCGGGTGATCTAGGAGGCCATTTTATTGTTCCGTTACCGCCAATAATCCGCTGGCCGAACACACTTTCAAGGTAAGTGTGTACGATCGCCGCATTATGCGCCGGGCATCCATCTTGTTGGAACCAAATATTAGCGAGATCAATGCCAAGCTGCCTAATTGCAGGAACAATCTGCGTCTGTAGTAACGCCAAATATTTTGCAGCCGTAAGAACGTAAAGAACGGTCCGATAATGTTATTACCTAGAATTCCTGCACACACATTCAGTTTCTGTGGATACTGCGTGCGGACGGGAATACTAAGGTGTTTATTTTCCTGAGACCAATACCGAACGACTGAAGGATTGTGATGACCGTGGAGAGGGAATGTTGGTTCATCAGTAAACAAAATGTTACCAATAAAACTTCCATCCCTGTTCGCCTTCTCCATGACCGTTTCACAAAACTCCATTCGACGGTATTTGTCTAAAGGAAATATTTCTTGAACCGTTCCAACCTTGAAGCTATGATAGCCGTTGCGATGCAAAATATTTCTAGTTGTTCTGGGTGTGAGATCGGCTATTGGTATCATTTCAGCAATTTTTCTGCTTGAGCATGGCTCAGATACTTCTGCAGCGGCACAAACAGCAGGTTCGATCTCCTGCCTTTTCTCGCTAATTTTTGGTTTCCAACCTTCAGGGTGCATGCAGCTATGGCACTTATGTAAGCAGCCCACCCTCTTGAATTTTTCGTAGGTATTTATAACCGTTGCGTGAGACGGTGGATGTACCAATCTATCATTTGAAACTTTTCTTCTTGCGAGTACATTTTTAAGATATTTTGGATTAAATAAAGACGCACCTTTCCTACACAAAACCCAACCGCAGAGTGAGTCATAAATCCCTTATCGCACTTGACAACGGCACGCGCGTTATCGGTAGGAAATATGTACGAATAGCGATGAAAGTAGACGAGCCGATGCGCTGTTGCCATGAAATGATTTCCCATGTATAACAATGGTTTTTCCTAAGGTGTATATATACATATCCTTGAAATTCTTTGGGATGAAGAAAAAGTTTTGCAGAAGTATGCCATTAACTTAAAGTCAAGCTTGCGACGGTCTATGCCATCATCATCAAGGGACTAGGACAAATTTTGGAAAGTAGCAACAATATGTAATTGAAAGGAGTATCGTTATTTACTGAGTCGGTGAGATTTGTTGCTGAAATTGTTGTTAGAACGAAGTAGAAGACAACACATAGTTAATGAGCAAAAAGCTGAATTGTTGAGGTTAAATTAGGAAGAGCTTATTTTAATTAATAATTATTGGTAAAACCATAGCTATGCTTGCTTTTTTCAAGAAAACACTGACGGATTTATTAACTTATTGAAAAAACTTTCGAACAATAATTTTTACCGGAAACCACTTCGTCTTTATCACGTGCTGAAACTGACGAACTGGATGAGTGACGTGTGACGTTCACATTATTGACACACCATCGATCAAGGGAAAAAAGGAGAGAGAGAGAGAGAGAGAGAAAAGAAAGGGATAGAAGACCTATGATGTGTTGCCTACCTTGTATGGAAGTGTTAAGATGAAGGTGGTTACAGCATAAAAAGAAGTTCAAGATCTATTTTCAAATTAATAAATATCATTATGGATGGAGTGTGTTTTTTGATGTTATCCTTCCACCGTCTTAGATAATGACGAAGAAATTATGCAATTAATGCGATTATTGGGAAAGATCGATGTTGGGAGAGATATGAGGTCTTTCCAATTTTTCGCAGTTCAACAGACATTCGCAGAAGACGCTAACATCTCCGCTTTCTTGTTCATGCAGTTGCAGTAATAAAGATGTGAGACATTTTTAGGAACAAACGTTTGAATGGATAGTTTTTCTTGTCAAGGACGTCATTACGTCCCCATTGAATACCGTGTGGTGTTGACATGTGAAGCCAGAGCACATCTTTCTGGATGAAGACTGGAATCACTTTCATGTGAGGTTACTCTACCTTTAAGCAATCTCGAAGTTTGACCTCTATATGTGAGATTGCAGTTGTTCCAATAGATACAATAGACAATGTTGGATAAGCTTAGAAGTGGAACTCTATCTTTCATTTTGGAGAAGACATTGTTGATTGTAAGGGAAGATTTGTAAGCAATACAATCTAGAGTGTTGCACAGTCTAGAAAGTTTTGGCGTTAGGTCCTTGATATGCGGCAGGACTACAAAATTAATTCTGGAATTGGAGGCAGCATCTGTATTGTTGGAATGATTGTCATTGTTAATATTGGAAGGGTGGATTATTATTATCACCCATGTTTGGCAGG